TCTCACGGATCGACGAGCCTGCGCCGAACTCCGACGCTGTCAATCCAAGTTCCAGCGGTCCTGCACATGCGTCTGCCTCGCTACAGAATGGCTCTCCTCCTCAAGTCGACGCCTTTCGACTCTCTACAATGCTCAATTTTGCGGAACTCTCGCAAGCACAAGCTGGAGATCAGGAGCTGCAGCACGTTCTTACAAGCGCTACCACTTCTCTGAAACTCCGCAAGCTCACGCTGGGACCGGAGAACTTAGAGATCTACTGCGACGTCTCGCAGAACGACATCAGGCCTTACGTGCCGGAAACATTCCGGAGGCAAGTTTTCGACCTCACTCATTCGCTTTCTCATCCTTCAGGTCGCGCCACCACCAAGATCATCTCGCAACGCTACGTGTGGCCTTCTATGTCAAAAGACATAACCAGATGGGCCAGCGCCTGCGAGCATTGTCAACGCTCTAAGATTGGTCGGCACGTGCACTTGCAGCCCAAGACGTTTCTAAATCCGGATCAGCGCTTCGATCATGTCCATATAGATTTGGTGGGCTCGCTGCCACCTTGCCAGGGCTACACCTACCTACTGACATTGGTGGATCGCTTCACCCGCTGGTCGGAGGCCATTCCTCTCAGAAACATCACGGCCGCGAACGTAGCCACGCACTTCTACAGCAGCTGGATCGCACGTTTTGGCTGTCCAAAGTTCATCACTACAGACAGAGGCTCGCAATTTGAATCTGCTCTCTTCAACGCTCTCGCTCAACTGCTGGGAGGTAAGCGCATCAGGACGATGCCCTACCACCCTGCTCCAAACGGCATCCTGGAGCGCTGGCATCGTGTCCTGAAGACAGCTCTGCGCTGTCACGACTCTCAGGACTGGCTAGAGAATCTTCCGACGGTACTTTTGGGTCTGCGATAGGTTTACAAAGAAGATCTCAAGACTTCCCCTACGGAATACCTCTACGGCTCCACTCTACGTTTACCAGGAGAGTTCTTCATAGATGAACAGCATCCGGAGGACCACGCCTTCTTCTTAGCTCCTTTCAAAACGCACATGCAGCAACTCAGACCTGTGCCGGCTTCCCACCATTGCAAACAGAACACCTTTGTCTACAAGTCTCTCTACACCTCGTCGCATGTCTATTTGAGAAATCATGCAAAGAAGCACACTCTCAACCAGGCATACTCTGGCCCTCACAAGGTCATCCAGAGGATCGACGACAGAGTTTTTCAAATCGACATTAACGGTTGTTCAGCCAACGTCAGCGTGGAGAATCTAAAACCAGCTTTCTTGCTTCGCGAGGAGCTCTCGGCGACGCCTCCAGCCTCTACGCTCGACTCCGGTGGCTCTTCCTCTCCGGTAACACGGCAAGCTCCTTCGCAGCGCCTTTCGCAACAAAGCTCTGCTTCCACCACTGAGGCAGAGCGACCTACTCTCTCACCTGCGGCGCCTCAGCCTTCTCCTATACGGCAGCAGACCCTGCTCTCGCATCACAACGCGGTCTCTCCGCAGGCAACCCAGCAACAGCAGCAGCACTTTACCTCGGTTGCTCCTCCGGCAGATAGAAAAACGAAGTTTGTACCGTCTATTCTCAAGAAAAAAACCAGCACAAATGTCAGTGCGGTGCAAGCTCCGATCAAACATGTTCGCTTCAATCTTAAGAGAAGACTTTTGTGATCGTGACGCGTCTTCCTTTTTCGAACTCGAGCATAACTATTTATTTTCTTCTACTCCGTCACTAATATACTATTTTGTAAATATTTATCGGGATAATCCTAATTAAACAAGCGGCTCTTTCGCAAAGTTTCGCGTTAATTTAACGGCGATAGTCTTCACTTCCTGTACGATTTCTAGTCGAAATAATAATAATCTCAGGTGCTTTGTACCGAATTATTAGCTATAAGTACCTTAGTGTAAGACAATTTCTTCTGTATCTTTGCGTATCATTTTTTCGTGTTAAAAATTAACGTAAGATAATTTTTTAACACTGGTAGGGGAGTGTATGTGGCGGCTATACTCTATCTCGCTTGCATGCGAGCTCGCCCCCCACCACACGCCGGCGAGCTAGTCTTTTGTCACTGCACGGCTAGTCTTTTGTCGCTGTACGGCAGGGGAACAGTGGAGACTAGCCCGCCGTTAGAGCTGCATCGTTCTAGTGTTTCTCTACGTAATAAAAGAGTCTTTCTTATTCTCTGTGCCGAGTACTCAGTGGGCGCAGGCCTAGATTCTTCCCGGGTTATCCCTTCTAAACCTCCACAGTGCCACCGTATATCCCGATATTCGCAAGCCGTGTCGAAGCAGCGACTATTCAAATTTATTATCCGGATTCAATGACGCGTCGGTAATTTTCACCGGTTATCCAAGCGATTCAAGATAAATCCCTAAGATGTAACGCGTGCGAATAAAGCGGTGCCAGGGGAAATCAAAGGTAGGATTGAGCAAATAGAAAATTACGCGCGCATGCGTCGGAATATCGGATGGACGAAGAAACGATCGGGAACGACGAAAGGGGGCAGTTTCGACAAGCTCGCATCCTTTCCCGGCTCCTCTCTCTTTGGATAGTCGTGTCTAACGGAAGAGGTCGGCTAATTCGATGAAATCGAAAGGGATCCGTGGGGGGATTAATGCGCTATCCGAGAGTTTTACGATCATGGTAGGACGACCTTACAGCGGCGATTAAATTACAATAAGCTCCGTTCCCTTTCCGATCCCCTAATTGAATTGCGAGGGCGGTGCAGGTGAGAGTCAGTGAACCGGGCCGCATTAAAATAACTACCGCCTCGCGGCTGGTACGTAATTGGCGTCGATAATTACGTTCCACACGGTATATTACACGTCGACCATGTCGCACTTCCGCGCCATAGAATCCCCGGGTTAATTCAATCTTGGCGGTTACTGGGAGAATTTAACTAGAAATAAAATTTCACCGGAGCTCTTTTGAATAGAACGGACCGCGCGGCGTTATCGATACAAGAAAATTGGTTGCAACGTCGATAAACCGCGCGCAACCGGACTGATGAATTCGCCGCGCTTCTGACATGGTTTCTTGCTCGTCGAAGGTTCGTCGGTTTTGCAAAACCGCGTTGTTTTTAAACGAAATAACGCGCCGCCGATTACAAATAGTCGGGACGGTTTCATTGCGATCTTAATTATCCGAAGGCTCGATTCGAGAGAAGATGACAGTTACTTCTTAAAGGCGACCAGTTTAGGGATGTACCTTTCATTATGCTGGCACATTTGACGCTCGACTCTTTCGGATTACTCTGAGGATTTACGTCGCTATTTTATGCTCCAATAAATCGCAGGTAGGTAGGAATCGCACTAAGTTTCGATGAAGCTCTGACATTTGCTAGGTCAAAACTCAGTGGTCTATCTATATAAATGTTCTCAACGTGTTTGAATATAATATGATATGTTAAGTCAAGCTGTCAAAATGATAGATTAACCGAATAATTCAACCGTAATGTAATATGCTTATATCCAAGGGCGATGCGAACGATTACAAATTAAATTTAGTTCGAGTCCAGAGACCTGAGAATTTATTAAAGCTTAATGCACGATAATATTTGGGATGACGATATAAAAAGTGGATGCCACAAGTTCGCGTTAAATAACATTAAAAAATTATTAAACAAATATTCTTGTTATATCAATCACGATATTATGAATAACACATATGTAACTTCATGACAGACTGCGATACTTGACAATTCAACACTATCCGATTTTACTCATCGTCCAATTATATCGTAGACAAAACCGAAGTTTTGTTGGTATTGCTTGGGCGGATGTTTAAAATAAGAGCTCGTGCTGTGCTATATGTATACGTAGAAAATTGTTAACGAGACTCTGTCCACCGTTTTCGGGTAACGAGTTGTCCTCCATCTCGAGTAACTCATCAATTTATAAAGAACTTCGGCGATCGGAGATAGCGATTCAGCCGTTTTTGAGGAAACTTGGGATAGTTTCCGTCGAGAGGAGGGGAATCGGACGCCACGGGTCACCTCGCCGCCGGGGCGGCCTTGTTACAGTTTCGACGAATGACAACCCGGTATCAAGATTATCCGCTACCGACTTTTCACGATAATGCTGAACCAAGATTTTCGATATCGGACAAAAGTTGCGAGCCAACTTTCACGAGTAACGGCATGGTATAGCCCGGTGGCGGGGGGGGGGGGGGACAGATATACGTATACGAAAATTTCAAGCATCGATCACGGCGCGAATTCACCGGACTAAAGTTCCCTGGTCTCCGCTCTTTTAATTCGGCCGTTCTATAATCCCCCTCGAAAGTTTTGGAATTTCACAAGCGTAGATTATTCCAAAAGAATATCCGCAATAAAATCCCAGGAGTGCCTCGTTGATTATATATTTTAATAAACATAAGACAAGGTTACAACGTCTCGTTAACATGCGATGAATTGATAAAGGACGGTAAAAGGAAAGAACACGTGAACGCACGTCATCATTCGTTGCGGAATCTCTCATTGCGGCTCAAATAATTTTCTCTTGTTGTCCTTGTCTTCCTAAATCAGAGATTCATGAAATTGTAATTCTCAAGCTACAATGTATCAAACGATAACGGATTATGAAGACCGGTCTAAATTTCGGTTTCGGATCTCTCCTTATTCGCTAGACGTTAATTAAAATCAATTAGAAATATCCTGCATAACAAATCATTTGACACATCCGGAATTCTATATTCTCTGGCTTCCAAATTTCCCGAATCAGCAACCTATTTCCGACTGCTTCGTAGTGGTATTCCGGATATTCATTCGTACGAATACTAACACTAGTACTAACACGTATAAACGCAATTCGGTTGGAAAAACTTATGTGTGAAACATGACATCGATCTGCAATGTGGTTTTCGCAAATATCGGTAATAACCGATGCAGCCTCGGTGAAACGCATACCCCTTCTGTTGTGCAAACTTTCGGTTGGCAGTAGTCGGCAATAAAAACGCATGTTATCACATTGCCAACTGCGCGAGTTGAACTTTACCCAGCTTTGAAAACATTTGTAAAGGGCAGTAACATATCCTGACCTGAATTTTTACAATTCTTGCAACATAAGAGTCAATAAAATCACAGAGACAATAATATTTTTCAGAAATCAAATGTTAATCAATCGATCAACGATTATAGAAAAAAAAAAAGTAAATTTATCCGATCGGTTAGCTATGTGTTAATTTACCCGATGCCGACGAGAACCCGGTAAAATATTTTCAAATCCGACGGGAGTGTTAATTAACGCGCCAATATACGCTTTCCGCTCTCGTCGGCTCACAACGTAATGACGCCGAGAAATATGTGACGCATGAAAAAATCAAAACAATCGGCAAAAACGGCAACAGCATATTTTGCCAAACGTCGACGTCGTTGCCCACTAATCAATGATGTATACATAATTTCGGTAGCCGAGAAAAACAGAATATTGATAGCTCAATAAAAAATTTCCGCAAGCTGCATCTTGAATTTTCCAACGTCATCTTTTCGATTCCGTTTAAAGGATTATTGCTGTTGCATCGAATCTAAATTGATAAATATCTATTGCTGCACCACATTATACTATGCACACACAATTGCTATTTTTATTCTTATTCCTTTCTTCTCATTTCTCTTTTAAATCTCCAATATTATCAAAATTTCCAATATTAATTAAAAATGCGATAATAAAAATATCAATAAAAAGGAAAAAGAATTTGCTTAATTCGCTCTATAAGTAAAATTCCACTATTTAAACATGTTAATTATTTAATGTTTACTTATCGAACATACTTTACCTACAGTGGAATAATTAATATATTGCTTATTAAAACTAGAAATTTATTAAATACGTACAGAATATCGAGAAATATAATGATCAATCTCTTCGTTTCATTTTCTGCTTTTACGTCATTTCGATCGTCTGCAATTTTGAATAAAAACGAATAGTATTTCGAGTTGTAGGCGTTACTTAGCTACTGTCCCTCGAAAACTTTGTTGTAACGCTTTTGTTTTACGCATAGCGAGACTAGTCTTTTCGGTTGAGACAGGCGGAGTAAAATTCTTATCGTTTAAGATTGCGCGAAATCTTGAAGCTCGGTATGACGATGATTCTTTGGAACTCGCTTTTATACTAAACTCCGAATTACTAAACTTCTAGATTCCTTCGTTTTATCATGTTATCTTGGATAACGAAATTTTCGCTACACCTTAAGACTTCTTACGTTCTACATCAAATTCCAAAACTGTCCACAGCCAACAATGCTCGAAAGTTACGCTCCATTCTCCCTCGTTATTGTCTCTCCGCAATGGCGCTTCACAATGCCATCCATGTGGAACGTAAGCGATTAATTATCAAGAAATACAAGATAGACGCATTCCGGAAAATGGTTTCTCCCGTTCAACGTGAATCCATGCGTGTAAAATCGTAACTATTTATAACTTTTTTCCTATCTTCCGTTATGCTTATGTTATCGCGTAAACTTCATGTCATCTCGCAAGAACTGCGAGTCCAGTAATTAAATACTCGGAAACAATGCATTGTTCGATTCGTCGCATGCGTTCACGTTGGCGAGACCATTTGCTGCTTTCAAACGGGATGAGTGCGGGAAACGCAAATACCAGATATCTAGCAGGCTGGCGATCGAAATGTCAATAGCTCTCGCGCGAAATTAAATGTCAGGCTGACGCACGAAGTAATCGAGAGAATGGCGTCTCTTCTATGTATTCGTTCCTTATTCAAGTACCGCCGTTACTTCAAATGCAAAAGGACAGATTGTCAGTTCGCTTTTTCACGGCGCGACAAATTTTCACCCCTCGTGTAATCGTACCGTTTTCCTTAACGCCTGTCTGTTCGAACGACTCGAGACGTATAGACACGCGAAATACGGATATCGAAGTCCATCACTCATCGTTTTCCGAATAATTATATCATATCCATTGAAGTCATACTTATTGGCAATTTCAATGCTGTCGAGCAAGTAATAAATGGCGTCAGTAGAATAACATTGTAATTCGTCGCGACACATATTGACATTTAAAAGAGAAGGTACAAAAAGAAAAAGATACAAAAACAGACCCGAAGAGATATCAATAAAGAATCTATTATCATATCACGTTCGCTTGCATTTCAATGAACCAAAATTATCAGCGCACAACCGATTGTCCGAATGGAAATCAGTATTGATCACATTCGTGAGGGGAAGCTCAACGGCACCGCGCGACGCTCCTCCCCGCCATATTCGTATTCTCGGGAAATGTTTACTCGGAAGACGTACAACCCATCTTTTGAGAGCCGTGTTATCGGAAGGTGCCTTGAAAAAGTTGCTCGCGTCGCCTTGGGAGTATCGAGATCCATACCGCAAAGAGCGATGGCTTCGCGGCAAGAAATCACCCTTAAGGCTTCCATGTAACCCACCTGACGATTTATATCAAAGTAAATAAGGAGAGATTTGGGAGTTACGCCGCACTATAAATAAGCCGGCCTAAATATGGCTTAACGTTACGAATGAATTATACATCTTGGCGAAAAACCACAGCGCTACGGCCGTGTAATTATCCGAAATGCAATGTGGCGTTCCTAATGCCGTCCCACAGCGATTTCTTAATGCTTCTGTCACGTGAGTTTCGCTAAATATATATGAAGCACGAAATTTATATCAAACTTTCTTTTGTTGCATGCACATATATACATATAATATTCCTTAACGCAACACACAAATATATTTATTATAATTGTTATAGATTCGTTATAATTGTGTATTTATAAAAAATAATCTTTATATATTTTTATGAAAAGTGTAGTTCTTTTTACACCTATTGGATAACCAAATTGAAGATGAGATATTTCTAAGAAAGATTTCGCGGGTAGCCTTGTTTCCAAAACAGTATCTAGTGTGAATCACCACGAGTATATCTGACCATTCCCGTGCGGGCAGTGGTGGCATTTGCGCAAAATGGAGCGTATGAATAATTCGCGTGAACTCCGAGTACGGAAATAAAGCGCGAAATTGTTTTATTGTCGAAGCGACGGGCGTGCCGTTTCCCAGAGAACGAGAGAGGAAGAGAGAATGAAGCAGAGACACATACAAGAAGAGAGAGAGAGAGAGAGAGAGACGAGAGGAGATCGACGAACCAAGGGGAAATAGTATCATACCCGGCGAAATAGCTTCAACCTAATTCGAAAGCTAAAGCAACCCTTAACGGTGGCGATAGCTACCATTTACAAAAGAGCCCTCCGGACCAACGTCCGAAGTTTGGCACTTCGAATCGGACCATTTGGCCCATCTTTCCGTACATTTGCAAGTGGCTCTGGCCACGAAGCCGCGATCGATGCTATCATCGTTTCCGAGGAGAGGTAACTGCAATCCCATTCATTATACGCGCTATATGTAGTACATACGTACTACATACGCTGGAATCTACAATTGTATACGGCTTGCATGACGATGAAACTGTAACCACGTAATAACGATGGGGCAAAACGCTCGGGGCTAAAAAATTCCAGTGTTCGGAACAATCGGAAGGGTATTCGGCTGAAATTAGCGTTCACGTTCGCTAGTCTCGCGGGTAAAGATCTATCGTCGCACATATAGAATACCCTTTCAAGTTTTTCGTCTTCGAGTGAGAGATACGAGAGGAAAAAGATTACTGTCAAGTCTTTGAATAATGTAGAGCCGACGGTTCATTGGAATACGATCTTGCACAAATTCCCTCGCTCGAAAATTGTCTTTTCCCGCTTTCAAACTCGCAGCGTTAAATGCCTCGATACTGACAGTCGAATCCGTTAATGAAGCAATTAATTTTATAATGAGAAATCAAGCGGACTTGCATTAAGGAGCATGACCGTTTCACAAAACATCGTTTTATTCTTGTAACATTGTAAAAAGCACCGAACGACGTCAGCTTAATACAAAATAATTCCACGAGTTTCTTTGATGTAATCTTTTAAAAGGGATTTTCGATTTTCCGGCTTGTTTCCCCGCTGCTATTATAATTCTGCAGTTCCAGTATGAAACGAAGACCAGCTGTTTACAATTTCAGGGAACTGCCGGCAATCATCGACATGCAAGCGAACGTAAGCTACAGTTTGCTCGCTGCGATGTCATATCGCGTAACTTAAAGGCAGTTTTCCAATATTTCTCGTGTTTCCTTGTCGCGCACATCCACACATACACAACGTACAGAGAGAGAGAGAGAAAGAGCCCGTAAGTAACGATATTAAATGAATATTAACTTTTTGTAGCTCGACTGTAAAATATTCTTTAATCTTTCCTTGACTTTGACAATATAATTTCAATCGCTTGAAATTAAAAAAATAGCTACAAAGAAATAAAAAAGGCACCTTATATTAACGATCAGCTGTTAGCAGCACGCTTATAAATATGATATTCTAACATTCACTGTATCTTTTAATTTTATTCGAAACTTATCATAACAGATAATGTGTAGAATTTAGAATAAAAACACATTTTTAAGAATAAATATGAAGCTATATTATTTGTCTTATTAAGAAAAACATATATGACTGTTACAAATTGGAACACTGTTACTAATTGGAACACTTATCTTAAAGAAATTCGTCGGTCGTTTCATAATTATCCTCGAGATATGTAATAACGCGAATCAGAGAATTCAACCGAGAGCGTTCACGCGAGAGCCAGGGATTTATTTTGGACTGAAAATAATTGTTAATTTGATCTCGAAGTTTCGAAATGTGTTTTGCACTCGCGGATATCCGGTGGGAGCTAATTAATACGATTTTACAATTTTAAATATAAATGAGACGAGGTTTTTGCGAATTCTGCCAGCTACTTATGGACGGCGCACTTATGAATAAGTGTGCACGAAATTACGGAAACATGACGTACCTACGTTGCATTCAGCTTGCGCTTGCAAACTAAATTTTACTTTTTAACATCAACGAGAGAATATCACTGCCGGCCGCCGAAATGGAATTCGTTTTATTTGCGTCGCGTGCGCCGCCTGCTTCGTCACGATTATCGCACCGATTAAGGCCTATTGGCTCGCTAACACCGATATTTTTCTTCGATGTGCTTTTATAGCCTTAATCGTGCTTCGATCTGCCTATTCGGTTATTCTAAAGAGGCAATAGCGATCGGTTTTAATTTCCTTTGCCCCTCGGTCGCTAGTGCTGCGGAGTTTTCTCATTCCGAGCTTCACAGCGAGCAGTCGTACACACGAGTTCGTGCCATGGCGCTGTGATTCAAGTACTTTCGTGTCCGGCAATTTGATACCGGTCACGTACCGAATACATTTCGAAAGAATGCAGGAGGTTGCAGACAGGAATACCCGCACGTGCAAAGAACGTGTGTGCGAGTAATGAGTCCACGTTTATCTATGATAAAACAAAATCGGTCTAACGCCATGTGTGCAACTCTTGGCATTACGCGAATTTGATATTTCTGCATGCAAAATTAATAAAACGGGAAAATAGACCGTCTTATAGATATTATCTCGATTCTTATAATTTATGATAATCGTATAGCGTTTATCTGTCCCGTTCACGTTGTATTCGTCCCAAAATAGATTTAGATAGCGCTTTAAAATGGATTTGAAAGGGCCGTACAATTGACATTTCTATTCTATTTCTAACATGTGAATGCGTTTATTAATAAATTACGATCGTGATATTTGAAGAGAATCCTAAGAATATAAAATAAGCTATGAAATAGAATAGCGTTGATGCACGTTTGCTCTGGCAAGCGTTTCAAAATCTATAAGTAATATTATATGATATTAAATATTTAATAGAAAATATATGATGCAAATGTATTTTCCTAACAATTCTGTCTACAAAATGTACACAGACGTAAGTGCTGCCGCACGGTGAAACTCGGCACATTCGTTTTTCGTAGTGCAGTCGTCGCCGCGTAATCGCAAATAAATTCTCGCGATTCGCCAAGTTTAACTCGCTGTCCGCCAGCGTCGCGGCTTGGTGGCATACTTAACTTTTCATGCCACTTGTGTAGCTGTCCTCATTTTCATCCTAAGTGGTTTAGACTCCGGTTTATTTGCGGCGTGGAATTCAGGATTCCGAATAAATATGAAAAGGAAAAGGGAGGAATGAAAGGGCTGGCGCGTTTAGAAATATTTGAATTGCATTCGCTATTACGTCACTATACATCTTTTTTAAAATTTCCCTAAGGTACACGCACGAACTTCTCTTAATCGATATTCTAGCAAGAGAGAACCTCGTGAACACGATTTCCTCGTGTCAAGTGCATATCTCAAAGCATCCTTCAGCAAAGTGAAGCAGACGAGTTCACACGTATCCAGGAAAACCTTATTCGTTTCAGCCGCAAACGTGCTCCATAAATCTCGGTCTCTTCCCGCTAACAATATGTTGGATTAATTTCTTCAATTATCTTTCCACACTCACAGCACTTATCATCCGTTGTTGTACGTACCACCGCGCCGCATCACTTCCCATATTTCAAAAAATACGGGCGAAATAAATTATATGTTTCGTAGACGGGGAAGGAGCGGTTAACACAGAGGTGAATTAATTAAAATGAGTGTGATATTATACGATATGTTTTCCGAAATATTATGTTAGCTAAAAAATATGATTCTTGAGCCAAATTTCGATAGAAATTCCTGTAGAAACAAATTATTTTCTCATACATGTATCGTATATTCTCATTCTCTTTCTTATTCGGACGTATAATAACTTTTTCAGACAGAGAATATACGTGTGCGAATTTATTCACTATTAAAGAACAAAAACGTAATGACATCATTGCTGAACTCCGACTACAGTTTAGCCCATGTCCCTTCCGCGACATTTTCAAACACCGATACACAGCCGACTTTCTTCGTAAAGTAGGTACTTCTAGTTTGGCTCGAGACCGCTTCTCGCAAAGCCTGCCTGCAAACTCCTTCGCAATTAAGCCGATTACAGCAAAGACCCGATTAACTAAGGTTCCACGTTAAAGCTTTATTCTTCGCTTTTCGTTTTTAAGCGGTAACCTCGGAAAAACTATTTCGCGCGCCGACTAAACAACAATAGAAACACGATTCTCTCATGGAACAACATATATCGTCGAGACTAAGTGTATTCCAACGTGCTGGCTTATGGTCGCCGGTAGTTTCGTAAATGTTTCATCATACGTTTAAATAATGATCAGAAAGTGCATGCGAACGATAAATATATAATAAGAAATTTATTTTTAAACTATAAAGCATATGTACTTGTAATGATATTAAATAATGATTAAATACTATAATAACAATTAAATAGTAATAAGTATCAAATAATAATAATATTAATAATAATTTAAAATAATATTATTGAATAATAGTGCATTATAAATATGGATTGATACGAAAAAATATTTAATAATCTTGCTACAAAATAAGAATATATACTGTACTGAGCTTTTCGTTACACCTATCATAAATTCACTACAAATTTAATGAAAAAATATAAATTTAATACCTCGTAAAGCGTTTAAAAGAGGAGGTGTGTAGCCGAGAACTCATAAAAAATGAAGACCGTTTTAGAGCAAACATGCGTTCTCCCGGTTCTAACGTGCTACATTCTAAATAGGTCCTCGGAGTAATCATGATTTTAGAAATACTTATATAAACCAGCATTCGAATAATTAGATTAAATTAAATTATTACGCGAATTGCGAGACACTTCCGATTTTCGATTAATGATAATAAAAGAGTATCAAGACAACTCGTTCTTTTCTTTTTTCCTCTCCGCGATTTTTTACAACAAACGCCCCATCACAAGATTAGCCGAATATATGAGACCTCATTGTTGTCACATACATTTCGTACGATTAAGCATCACCACATGTCCATGTTTATCTCGTCTATATATAACCAATGTGCTTTGAGAGAATTGCGTGACAAAATGCGACGAGAGTAAAACGAGAGAATTCATATATTCATATACGGATGTAAAGCGATAGCGATCCTTTGATCTTCCGACGATCGCGAATAGGGAAGCTGGTGGATTAGTTCAGTTCAATTTTTAGGTCATCTCCGTCCAAGTCTCCATAAGTCTCTCAATGTACTTTGAAGTTCGATCTCTCGTACTTTGTGTCATACTGCTTTCAAGGCATCGATGCCTTTCCACCACCACTACCGTAACCGCCACCGCTGCCGCCGTCGCCTCCACCTCTGCGCGACGCACACCTTTACGTCCAGAGCTTTTCATTAGCAGCGAAAAGCATTCGCAGCCGTCGCGGTCGTACCGTCGCACAGAGTAGTCCCGCAATTACTCCGGGAAACTGTAAGCGCACGGTGCAATAACGTATGCTTATTTCGCGGACACGCGTAAAAAGAAAAAATTGCGTGCGCGCGGTCATCCTGCGACTTTCGCACGACACGCATAATATTTTAAACGTTTTTTTGATAATGTCCGCTGTAACGAGCGGGAGCGGACGATATCGGCTATTTGGAAATTGCCGGCTGCCGCGCGCGAGTGTTGCGTGTGTATATGTGTGCGCGAGTTTTTCGAAGCGTGAACCGAAACAACAAACGTGTTAAACTTGTCGACGAGCAACTGCAATAAAAATTGTCATTAACTTCCAGCGTATCGAACGCAACAATCGTCGCGCCGATTCATTTGCATTTGGGACTAGACGTATCTTAATTTAAGTAATAATAATATGCGACGCATTATCAGACACAGTGCAATTCTGCGAGAAACACTATGTAATATGTACAATGTGTTCCGCAATCCGCGACTTTCATTTTATTGACGAATACTCGGACCAATTTAAGGTCGTATTTCCTGCCGCTGGCGAAATTGTCGTGGATAGTTTATCGTTTATTGCGACTCTTCGCAATTCTCGACGATACATGGCATCATAGTTCAGCCTCGAATTAAAATTCCATCGGGGTCAACCGTCCGCTTGAAATTAACCGAAGAATTTAACTCTGTCGTTTATTTGTTCGGTCGCCCGGAGCTCTTGCTTTGTGAAAAGCGACGTTTCTTTCGATCGCCCGGAGGCTATCGGTGTTTCGGCGCTTTCACCGAGGAAAATTCAATTCGCTGACTAGAATTCGTCGGAGAAGTCGTCAAATAAAAAATGAGTTCGCACGTTCGCAAGGTACATTATGTACAGAGAATTATTTAACGGCAACAGTCGAATAACGTCCGTTGGATGTAGCTCGTAGAAACGGTCGTCTACTGTCTGCCTTGCGCAACACATGTCACAATTGTTTA